TATTTTAACATCTCACACTCATTAGAATAGAAATTCTCATTTGCTAGTTTCCATTTGATGTAATATTTTCTGACTCATGTGCATGGATGATGATTTCAATAATGTTTACATTAAACATAATCAAATATAACTGGAAAAAGAACCCTTCCTAAAACTAAAATTCTTCAGGAATCATAGAATCCCAGCGCAGGAAGGAACATTGGAGTTTTATAGTCTAACCTGTGCAAGGCAGGAGTCCTTATACCATCCCAGACAAATAAATGTTCAATCTTTTCTTGAAAACCTCCAGTGACGGAATTCACAAGTCCAGGAGGCAACTCTTCCATTGGTTAATTGTTCTCACTCTCAGGCAATTTCTCCTTAGTTCCAGGTAGGATCTCTCTTTAATTACTTCTTGACCTACTCTCACGTGCTTTGGAGAATAAATCAACTCCCTCTTCTCTGTGACTGCCCCTCAAGTACTGGAGGACAGCTATCACGTCACCAATATTCCTTCTCTTTAATAGACTCGACATATCTAGTTCCCTTAATCATTCATCATACAATTTAATCTTCAACCCCTATATCATCTTCGTTGCTTTTCTCTGCAATCTTCCTAAGGTCACAGCATCATCTTGTATCATGGTGACCAGAACTGGATGCAGTATTTCAAGTGTGGTCTTGCTAGTGCAGTATAGAGTGGTACTAGCAATTTTGATAATCTTGAAGCTATCCTTCTATTAATGCAGCCTAGGAATTCATTGGCTTTGCTGCAGCACGCTGCTGGTTCCTACTTGTGGTGGTTCCTAGGATACCTAGCTCCATCTCATAGGCACTACTGCTCTCAGAACCATTGAACCGTATCTTTCAAAGATCCCGGGACACCAATACAATCCTAAATGACATTAACAGAGAAATGGAATCAAGATAATATTAGCACCATTTTATAAAGCGATTTAAGACCACACTTGGAATACTGCATCCAGCCTTGGTCACCATATTGTAAAAAAGTTGTTGAGACTCTGGAAAGAGGGAAGAAAAGAGCAACAAGAAAGATTAAGGGGATGGACACTAAAACAGTTTTGGTTTTAGAAGAACAGTTGCAGGAATTCAATCAAGTCTAGTGAAAAGAAGAAGTAGGCTGACATGATAGCAGTGTCCCAATATCTAAGGGGCTGCCCCAAAGAAGAGGGTGTCAAGTCTCTTCTTAAAAGCCTCCAAAGATTAAATACCCACAACTTCTGAAGGCAAGCTGTTCCACTGGTTCATTATTCTAACTGTTAGGAAATTTCTTCTTAGTTCTAGGGTGATTCTCTCCTTGATTAGTTTCCACCCATTGTTTCTTGCTTTGCCTTCTGGTGCTTTGAAAAATTGGCTGACTCCCCCCCACCCTCTTCTTTGTAGGAGCCCCTCAAATATTGGAAAACTGCTTACCTCCCTCACAGGATTATTGAGTCTACAGATTGTTGCTTCTGTTCTTCAAAGAATGAATCACCTATTACCAACACACATCCTTTTGGGAGGAGGAGTCTGAGCTCCTGGAACACTTGAAGGACCCCCTTCTCCTGATGTTTGCATGGTTTCTTCCAGGAGGAGATTATGATAATGACTGTTCACCTCCAGTTGTTGTGGGGACAGTTTTCTCATTTTTTCCCCTACAAGTAGTTTGTTGCCAATGATCTCTAGGTTCTCTGAAACGGAAATGAGCACCACCCCCTATAGTTGGCAACGACTAATGAACCGAAATCTACATGGACTTCTTTATCTTTCACCTAAGCTCTCTAGTTTCTTTTCTAGCAAATGAATTCTAGAAGTGGGAATGTAATTTTATCATGGGTTTCACCCACTTCTCCTTCTGATGAGTGCTTAGTGAACTATAGTAAAATAAATAATACAGTAAGAAAGAAACAGACCAAATCAGAAATTATACTGTATCAAAAACAGCAGTATCAAGGAAAAGGGGGATATAAAAAGAGAAGGATGAATACCTATGCACAGAATGCCTTGATTGGTTATAGTCTATATAAAAATAGCTATACTTCATTCTCAAAATTTAATGGTGATGCAGGCAAGTTACTCCAGCAAACCCCCACAGATACATTTTAATAAAATATTGCTACATCATAATGGAAATTTTGGATAAAAAAAAACCCCAGCATGATAAATAAATTGATATCTATTAGGCCCTATAAATGTATTCATTCCCAGGACATACCATTCTAGTGGCTTTCAGAACAATCAAAATACTTAAGTTTTTTGCTTTAGTCAAACTATTCTTGTGATTAACTATTCTACAATGATGGTTAGAAAATTGGTAACTTTCTGTCTTATGAAATTAAAAAAATGAACACTTCAGCCAGATAATTATTATTTAAACAGAAATAATCTTAAGAAAAGCTAATGTGATATAATCATACAAATATTTAAAGTACATTACAATTCATTTTGTTTACAAAATTAGAATGTTTCTTAATTCCCTTTCAACACTGATTCATCTTTTCGCGAAAGTTGAAAACCAGTTTAAAGGGTTTATACTGTAACTGTTCTCATGCCTTAGCTATGATTAATCAACTTTGTCTGAGCATCACTTAGGAGCAATGAACTGATCTAACATGGAAAAATGATGAATGGCTGTGAATGTGCAATCATAACTTCAACAGGCGCTCTTGAGATAGCTGTAATTTTATCACAAATACTTCAGATGCTGTCCTACAAATTGACAAAAATGAATCCCTCCTTGTTTCATTTTGGCAGGTACATTCGATCCAGAAAGAACTTTGCTTTGCCCTCATATTTTCTGTTGGCCCTCAGTCTTCACGTTGAGCTTGGTTCAGAAGCCTAGACTTTCCTACAGCGGTCCCACGTACACAGAAGGAGATAATCACCCCCACTCCCTCCCCACAAAAAAAAATAAGAAATCTCCCAGCAACTCAAAGGAAAAAATCCCCACCAAAAATTCCATGGCTAATTCCTTTGCTCTATTCTGCTCTAACTCTGCTCAAATTGTACTGTACAAGGACCAGTTGAGATCAGACATAGCAGTAGCAATAGCAGTTAGACTTATATACTGCTTCATAGGGCTTTCAGCCCTCTCTAAGCGGTTTACAGAGTCAGCATATCGCCCCCAACA